TTGCCCCCCCCCCTGCCCCCCGCCGGAGGGGAAAAACAAAAGTTTTTTTTCGGGGGTTCCCCTTGGGGGAGGAGGTAAAAACTCCCCCGGAGGGAAAATTGCCCCATCCAATGGGTTTTTTTTTCCCCGGGGCGGGGGTGGGGGGGGTCTTTCTTTCTTTTTTTTTTTCTTTCTTTTTCTTTCTATCTCTTTCTTTCTCTCTTTCCCCCCTTTCCTTTGGAAAAGGCCCCTGTGGCCGTGGCACTTGGGTTTTCAAAAAAGGGCCAGGTGGGGGAACGGGTCTTTTTTTCGGGCCCCCTTTTTGAAAACGAGGGGTTTTTTTCCCCCCCCCCCCCCCGCCCCCCCCGGTGTTTGCCGCCGGGGTTGGGTTCTCGTCGCTTGGTAACGATGTTGTAAAACATGCCGCGCCCCCCGGTGTTTGCCATCGGGGTTGGGTTTTCGTCGCTTGGCAGTGATGTTGTAAAACAAGCCGATCACTTCGTGAGCTCGGCAACCAGGTTACCGCTTTTTTTTTTATCTGTATAGTTTTTTTTTGGGCGGTAACCATAGTGGTGGTCGAGTTGATTCTGTTGTGCGGGGTCGAGAACCCTCACTCCGTGCAAAGGGGATAATCGCACGACGTTGTGATAAAATGGTCAAGCGCCCTCGAGGCAGTTACACAGTGATTATAACTGTCTCTAGAAGTGAAAGCACCAGAAAACATATTAAGTCATACGCAGCTGCCATCTGTACGCAAGGAAGTAAGCACAAGATGCCGAACACCCTTAGCAGGATGCAGCGCACCCTTCATGCGACTCGCCGAATACCTCACGGTGCTTTGCGCTTGGTGATGTGAGAGCCTGGTCCGGTGGGAACCCGGCGTGCTCCGTCCCGGCTTTGTAGGGATGCGAGGTCAATGGTCAAACGACTACGGCATGCACGAGTATGAGTACCCCCCCCCCCCTGGATTTGGCATGAATGTTTATATTGGCACCACGTGTTTAGATGTGGCCGGAGCATCAAAACGTTGAGGTCTTGTCGCACCTTTGCTGTCGGGGTTGGTCAGCGGTTGTATGAAAAGTTCACACGAAATGCAGATAGCGCCCGTACAGACGAACCTCTAGTTTTCGCCGAGGCTTGGGTTCTTAAAGAGTCTCTTGCAATGGCCACTACCGTAAGGATGCGAGAGAACGCACGGGGGCGCGATCGATTTTCAAAGCGTATTTTCTCCAAAACCAGGAGGGTACCGCTGCTGCCGACAAGGGTGGTTTTGGAACCATCTCATCGAGAGCTTTCCTGAGAGGTATCAGTTGGCGCTCGCACCCTCCTTACAAAAGTGGTGTACAGAAGTTTGATATCTATAGCGTTTGAGCACTTCGTTTTGAACTGCCAAGTTGTTACAGCCCTCCAAGATTTTTTCGTTCCTGTGCGCCGTCTCCGCCCCCTGCCCGCGATTGGTTTCCCCTCCGCGACGTCCCGTGGTGGGTGGACACACCACGATGTACGATGAAACCGTCAGATGAACGCGATCCGGACGGCGGAAGAGACGGAGAGGGACAGGAAGCGTTCCGTGGCGGCTTCGCAGCTCGCGGCGGCGGCGGCGGCGCAGTACCTCAGCAACAAGCGGTGCGATAGCTGATGCTACTGCTGCTTCGATTTGTTTTTCGATACAGTCCCGCCGACTTGCAATGTCAAGACAATTAGTCTGTGGGGAAAAGTACAAGAAGGAATCGGGCAGGGTGCTTGCTGCCAAGGGCGCTATTATGAACAGCGCTTGCTTTTATACTTGTTGGCTTCGAACGTGTACTGCGTCTGAATGTTTGTTTTTTTTTTGCAGAGAGGGCGGGGGGGGATTCTGATTGTCTGGTCCCTCTTGTTTGCAGGTGCCACCCGCAAGAGCTGACCTCTGTCCGAGCCCAAACGCGTCATCTGCTGTGCCCCCAGCCAAAACAAAACGGATCGGACGCACGATTTCTTTGGCACGCCAACGCGCGGCACAGCAATAGCAACACGGGCGGTGACTTGTGCACGAGGGGCGGCAGTGTGACCCGATCCCCCCCCTCGACCCCTTCGCCTAGAAAGCACGTGTTATACTAGTAGAGTCCAACGAGGCTCGCAACAACCGACGTGTGTTATCCTGCTGCTTGTTAATTACCTCGGCAAAACTCTCCTCCGCCTGCACCTTCCCCTCGCCTGGCCGGGCAACGTGGCTTGTTGTCCTTCTCGCCTGCTTCCGCCTCGAAAAGGGCCCGCTCCACAGCGACGGCGCCACCGGCTTCTTCAACCGCGCGACTAGCGACATCGCCGGCAGCGGCGGCGGCGGCGGCGGCGGCGGCGGCGGCGGCGGCGGTGAATGTGCCGGGCGCAATGGCGACGGGGGGCGATGACGAGGAAGACAAGCAGCGGGAAGGCGGTTCCTTCGAGCACGTGTCCAAGGGAAGCATGCTCCTGAGAAGGATGGGGTGGAAGCAGGGGCAGGGCTTGGGCCGTCGGTCCGATGGACCTCTTCGACCGGTGCAGGCAAGGATAAAGTTGGAGCCTGCTGGGTTGTATGTAGGCTCACACTGGTTGGGTGGATCGAAAGGCGTCGAGCTGCTCGCTGTTGAGTGAGGTTTTCCGTTTCACGACGACTCGGTCATTACCTACCGAGATGTGCAGGTAGCAGTAGATGGAGAGATGATTTAAGCAGCGCGTGCAAGAAGCAGGACGTTGTGTATGCATGTCTAGCAACCTCGGCGCGTTTTTACAGAACTCATGTAGGACGCTCTTGTCACCGTTGCTCCACGGCGGTCGATCATGTCGACACAGCCAGCAAGAAGTAGGGTGTGGGGTCGACGTGGGCAGCAAGCAGCAACGCAGCGCTTGCACAGCAGACCGCCCCCGCAGCCTCTCGCGGCTGTCAAACCACGCCCTATTGCACGTGGTTCTGGACATACGGTGTTCTCACCGTTTCTGTCCTTGACGTGACCTGCGGAATAGCTATGCCTCCTCGCTCTATTATTCTACGTCTCGCTCCTCGCGGTAAGGTGGTGGTAGGGTATCCTATCAATCTCCGACTGCCGAAAGAGATCACAGGTGCTTCCGCCCGGCGTTTGAAGGTGGAGGGAGGCGTTGTACTTGGTGGGAGGTTCCGTGGTTTTTCACCACCCTACATAGCCAGCAGGGCGATAGTCCCCCGCCCCCCCCCCCCCGGACTCCCAAGGTCCCCTCTTAACCTGAGCCTCCCCCACGCCCTTCCATCTCAGCTTGAGCCTGCTTCTTCTCCCTGCCCTGCTGTGTACCACACACCGCAACCAAACAATATCGATCGACGGATCTCTTTCGTCAGGTTGAACGGCGGAGCGAACGCGCCGGACTCGGGACCCGAAGCAGCAGCAGTCCGTTCGCCGTCGGTGCCGACGGCCGCATTAGCAAGTGGGAACAGATGCGCCGGAGGTTTTCCGAGGCGGCGCAATCTTCCGGTTCTGGGTTCGGAGAGGCGGGGCGACGAGCGAGCGGCGCCGGCGGGGGGGGCAGGTGGCTCAAGGGAGGAGAGGAGGGGGGGGGGGGAGGAAGCC